GTAACAATTCAAAGATTCATTATTCATGCAAACACACATTTTTTAAAATGATCAGATGGAAATAGTCTCCGATTTGTACAACCTAGTCTGGTTGGTGTGTAAACTCAGATAAAATAAAGCTGGGAACTAAGTGGTATTAAACAAATCCAAGAATATGGGTATTTTCAGATAATTATTGAACCAGATGGTGTTTTTTGTTAATTCTGCCATCAGTCTGAGAACTTGATGTCTTACATCTGCACTTGGTAAAATAAATTTTACCACTGACATTATTTCAGTTTTCTTAAAATACTTCAATCAGTTTTAAACCAAGATTTGCAAACATCTGCCATAGTGTAAGCCTATGAGATGAAATTATTCAAGATAATTCCTTTAAAAAATACCATTACACAGAGCTTTACATTTATCACATTTTAAACCAAATTTTTAGAATTACTTGTTGGGGTGTTTCATAAAGGATAAAATAGGAAAAGGCACACTGGAAAATTCCATGGGTGACAGGTCACAGAAGGCATGGGCTCAGTTGAAGACACAGCCTTGGATTCCACACTACACTATTTCACTATCTTGATTCACCACAGAAAAGCTCAACACATTTCCTCTTGCATCTTCGGGTAAGTTTCCTATGCAGTGTGATTACAGGATGAACCAAACAAAAGACACAGATGATAAAGAAACTTATCTGCGAGTAAGTTAGCACCAACAGAATTCTTCCTCTACACTACCACTAAGTATTCTGCCTTAGTAATAAACGGATATAATTCCAAATAGATACCCGAAGCCAGCATGCCAACTTGAGGTCTTCTTTCAGAGACTATAAACATAAAACCCTCCAATGACTTAACTACTTGAAGGTGACATTCTCACCAAGGTACACATCAAAATCTTGGTTTCTAACTTGACCATGAATTCACATCTTCTGACAACTGCACTGCATCTGTTTCAGTCCTCGGCTCCCCTGGCGACAGGAGGAATCTGGAGGGAAGCCCAGGATTTCTCTAGGTGTGTCTCCACCTTTCCTTTTCACTGTCCCAGTCCCACACCTCTGAGTCCACCTTGGCTTCATAAGGAAGCAGAGTGTTTATTGAGAAGAAGGTGCTCGATCTACACCGCACACTGACCAAAGCCAATCAGACAAAACTAGCACATTTCAGCGATAACTTTGAAGTATGCCACGTGCAGCAGACGATGGAATAAGCATAAAACGAACTGAACGAAGCAAGGAGCTGAATGAGGAGACCGAATCAAGGATCTGCAATTTTAAGTTGGCTCCACTGCATTCAGATAGGCGCCCCAGCAGCTGGAGTCGCTGACAACACTTCGCAAGCAGGATTCCTAGCCTGAGCACCTCCACACAGAAGTAACGTTGACTCCCGCTTGCTCTGGGAGAAGAGGCAGAGTGAGGAGGAGAGGTAGGAAGACGTGGCCAGTTGCCAGCAGTTAAATCAGAGGGCCACCCTGATTAGGTGGACTCCACGAATGCAGGGGATTTAAGGGCTGATTGTCCCCTAACTTACTTAGACAGGGGGCAATTAAAGTTTTCTACCATTAATTATTAATTAATTATACTTTAAATGATGGATTATTGTATTATATATGTTATTAATTATAATCATGAATACACAATTAAAATCCATTTATAATAATTAATGCTGATTATAATTAATGGTAGCATGCTATAGTAAATCCAAGTCTTATTGTATGACATATGCTAAGTGGTAATGTGCACATGCATTTTGCTCATACACTTAGGTGGAACAGTCCTCTACGAAGGCCGGTTTTCATGAGTGAATTAAAGTTCAGAGAGGTTACACTGTGGCCCTAGGCCATGACACTGGGAAATGATACATCCAGAATCTCAACCCTGTCCATCCTGAGGTATGCTCTGCACTGCGCAATCAAATTGACTCACAGATGAATGAGACTCAGTGGTACGTCCAACCCTTGCCATGCAGGCTGCTTTCAAAATACAGAACCGCAGAAATCTCTCTCCAGCTCTCTCCTTCCCCCTTCCTGCCCTTCTGCTCCCTCTCTTCAGACACCTTCCTCTCTCTCCTCAAGAACACGACAACTTTTAAGGCACCTGATTCAGATCAAGTGATTTTTCAAAAAGTCAAAACCAATGAAAGCATTATGTACAGCTGGGGCACACTGTCCTTTTGTTAATTTGACAGAGAAAAGGTATATGATCATTTTCTTTCAAAAATAAGTTTGGGGGCCGGGGATAAATTTGCACTGGGGCACACTAGGCTAAGCCTCCACCTGCAGTGCCAGCATCCCATATATGCACCGGTTCATGTCCCCACTGCTGCACTTCCGATCCAGCTCCCTGCTAATGGCCTGGGAAAGCAGTGGAAGAGGGCCCCAGTGCTTGGGCCCCTGCACCCACGTGGGAGACCCCAAAGAATCTCCTGGCTTCGGATAGGCCCAGCTTTGGCCATTGCGGCCATCTGGGGAGTGAACCAGCGGATGGAAGACCTCCTTGTATCTCCCTCTCTCTATCTATGACTCTGTCTCTTAAATAATTAATAAATCTTTTTTAAAAAGATTTTTTAAAAATAAGTTTGCATTTGTTTAGTTACTAATGCCTGTGATCACTTTTCCACATGTCTGTTTACCGGTACTATTTCCGGCTTATCTGTCACCTTCCTAACCTACTTACCTATTTTATAGTGTTCTTCCTATTGATTTCAATGAGCTCCTAACATACAAGGCTACAATTTTAATGTGTCATCTGACAGATTCTTTTCAGTGTTCTAGTTGCACATTTTTGGGGGAACTTTTGACATACAGAACTTAGCTAATTTATTAATCCGTTACTTGCTGTTTCTCTTATTTGCTCAAATTCTGAGAAAGTTATCTCATCAGGATTTTGGTTTCATTTAAATTTCCATATAGAATTACATGACTTTATTTTATATTTCTCTTTGGGAAATCAACCTTTGTCTTTGTGAACTGTGTCTAATAAAAATCTATATTGGTATCTCTGTCAAATTGCAATCCTGCTAAGTCTCACACAACTTATTAATATAAAATACTATTTTCCTTCTACACTGATTTGCAAATGCTCTTTAAGAATGTATATACGTATGCATATATGTATATAGAAGTATTAGCACATCATATGAATTGGTTACATGTAACAGACTCTGCTTTTGATCAATCTATTTAATTTTTTAATACTTTTTTAGACATTTGAATCAGATGTGCTTAGTTGTGAATCTTGATTCTGTCACTCAACAGGTCTTAGACAAGGCTCAGTCCCCCCATCTCGGAAGGGGGGGAATGGTGCCCTCCCCTGATGGTGTGGGGACTGAGAGAAGGAAACAGAGCCCCCAGGCTTGGGGTCCCGCACACAGCGCTCAGGACAGCCACAAAGAGGGGCCTGCAGTCACAGCCCACTGTTTCGGTTTTGTAAATTTCTATTTCTATAACTTTAGCGCCTCCGTTCAGGTTTTATCAGGATTACATCCATAAATCAGACTAGGAAGACAAGCTGTGTTCACATTCTGAACTTCGGGAAATTTCACTTCATCATCTATACTTACCGATGAAAACCTGTCGGACAATGTTCTCTATTACTTAGCTTTGTTGGGACTGTGAACAGGGTTTTGCCTCGAGTAGTTTCATAGTGTTTCAGCTAGAATGTAGGAAGGTTCTTCATTTTTTTATGTAAATCTGGGTTTCAGCCAATTTATTGAGGTTTAACGCCATATTTTACAACTGAAATTCTCACAGAATTTTCTAGACATGGAACAATTTATGTGCAAAAATCCTATACTCTTTCCAGGAGGTGTACCCACGTATTTAGTCTTCATCTTATTTTTCAGTAACCAGAACAATGTGGACAGTAGCAGCGGCCACGTGGCGTCTTGCTGTGGTTGCCAGGGCGAGGACTCCCAGCACCGCGTCTGCTCCTGCAGCCGACTCACTCTCGCTCAGGAAAGGGGTCCCTGCCTCAGCTCTGCCTGGGTTCCTCGACTTTACCAGCGCTGTGCACTACAGGATTCTACCGCAGGTGCTTCGTGTGCATGTATGTTCTTTGTGTAAGCGACTTCAAGTTTTTTGCGGGATAAGGAACATAAACATAATTCCTTTTGTTCTATTTTTAAGGTCATTTAAAATGGGTTTGTATCAAAGGTCTCTGTGGCATCCTTTGAGATAAGCTTTTGAATTTCTACTTCAACCAGCTGCTGTAACTGAGGGATTTGCTAGTATTCTACTGCCTCTTCAGTGGACTTGAGGCAGTGGAACTGTTAACTCGACCAGGATGGGGCTCCCTACAGGAGCGTCACCCCCAAGCACACCCAAGACTGTGCACTCGGAAAGTTTACTCCCGACGCCTTCCAACTGTGCCAGACCTGAGACTCCTGTGCCACACAAAGCCTGAGTGGGCATTCCGGAAGGCAACAAAGGGTCTCAGTTTATTCTGCATCATGCCACTGCGGAATCTGTCTTCATTTATCAGGTTTTCCTAATGTCTACCCAAATTATCTTGAGTTTAATAATTGTGTTTTTAGTTTTCTGTCGCTCCCCCTCTTCGTGGAGGAACGACACAAGACCCTGCGCTGTTCTTTCGTCTGCTCGGCCCTCCCCGGGTTTGCTGCTGGTTCTTCCAGGTTGGCTACCGTCCCTCCACCTCCGTGGAGGGGCGGTTCCCCCTGCCACTTTCCCCACTTCCGCGGGGGAGCGGCACACCGCCGGCTGGCTCTCTCGGGGGCTGCACAGGTGTTCCTTCAGATAGATGTTCCTGGTGCATGTTGTCTCTCTCCTCCTTTATAGTCCTCTTCCACCAATCCCAACTCGGCTGCCCACATGCCGAGTACGCTGCTCTCCTCCAATCAGGAGCAGGTCCTACAGTTTATTGGTTGAACTGGAGGCAGCTGTGTAGAAGCTGTTTCCTCCTCTCCCAGCGCCATATTGTGGGAGAGCAGATGCATAGAAAAAGTCTTAATTCCAGTAACTTAGTCTAGTCCGAGTTGCTCCCAGTTGCTCCCCACAGTTTTCTAGATCATTTGTTTCAGTTGTTATTTTACTAATTTATTACATCTTTGTTACAGTATTTTTAGATTGCTAATCTAAATAATTCTGCACACTTTCATCCTTTTTCATTTATAAGAGAACTTTAGACTGAATTTAGACTGTCGAGTTCAATGTTGGACAAGTCCTAGAGGGTCTAATACGACATTTTTCTCAATACTTTTGAAACAGTCTGCATCTGTATTCGTGAGCTACCCGTTTTCCTTCCATGATGTGGGAAACTATTTTAATATTTACAGGTGCTGGGCTCTTCTTTACATTTCTGTTGTTTATCATATTACAATCAGAGAGCATGACTTAGTAATTTCCAGTTTCTTTTCCAAGAGTACATTTTTCACAGAAACTTGATAATGTTAATGCTGTGTTTAAATAATTCCAAGTTACCTACCTAAAGTTCCATCATATTAATTATGTTGTTCAAATAATTATATTATCTCATTATCAATTACACTGAAAAGGAGTTTTCTTCTTTCTGATTTATCATAGTCTGATACGGATTAAACTACCAACCCATAGCTTTTACAGCATTTTTTTCAAAATTCAATTACAGTTTGCCTAGTGGCCCTTTCGCTAGGGCAGTCATAATGCTGTGTCTCCATATATTCAGTAGTTGCTGGAGCTTCCTTAGACACGGGGGATGTGCCAGACACCTTTCTGATCTGAGGACAGGCCGAGCAGTGAACAACCTCTGACCTGACGGAGCTTCTATCCCAGGAGCAGAGGAGCACAAATTGCGTAACCAAGATAAAAAAGTGTTTCACCTGATTTCAGATACGTTTTGAGGATTAGCCAAGAACTCTGCCCACAGCCTGGCTCCAGTTCTGGTGAAATGTCACTCCCTCATCAGATTTCATCGATCCTGTTTACTCCGCTGAGCGGCAGCCCCATCCGGGGCGTGGAGGGGACGCTGCCACTTCGCACAGGCTGGCAGAGAAGGTTTGGGAGAAAGCTGACAGCCACGACTGGACATGGACGAGGGAGCGGACGCCGGGGCCCCCGAGCAGGAAGGGCCAGCAAAGGCACTGGGGTGGGAGCTGACGGTATGCACAGCACCTGCAAGGAGTCTGCATGGCTGGAGAGAACGGGCAGAGACAGAAAGGAGGAGAGGAGCGCTGGCAGCCACACCCGGGCTGTGCGAGCGTTTACTGCGGGTGTCCTGAGCAGGAAAGAAGGAACGGCCGTGCTGTGCTTCAGAACTAAGCCCTCCACATAGCCAAGTTTTGCTTTAATTAATTAAACTAAAGAGCTCAAGTCCCCAGTCATCCTAGCCACACTTTGCCAGTGACCACTGCTAGACGGGGCAGACAGGAGCGGCTGTTCCAGGGGCCCGGTCACTCTGGCTGCTGCAAACCAGCAAGAGCAGAGCGAGGCCGGTGCTGCGGCCGAGAGGCGCTGGCGGCCTGCACCGCTGGGCCTTGTGGAAGGTGGAGAGGGCGCCGATTGGCGCATGAGCTAAAGATTGGTCATGTGCATTTGTGGAAGCCCAGATAAGAGGCTTACCAGTTCTTCAAAATGACGAGTTTTGTACCAGCCTGACTTCATCAATCACCATGTGACTGGGTGGTTGCTGGATACAAGATGACCATCCCTACTTCTAAAACCCTAAATCTCAAGTGTTCCAAAACATGACACTTTTTGAGCACCAACATGATTCCGTAAGGGGAAAATAGCACATCTGATCTCATTTTACAGTTGCAGTCAAAACACAGGTGGGCTAAAACTATTGTATAAAACTATCTTCAGGCTGCATGTGTAGGGTATACATGAAACATGGATTTTGCGTTTAGACTTGGGTTCTATCGTCAATCTATCTCCTTATATAAAATATTCCAAAGCCTGGAAAAATCCAAAACACTTCTGGTCCCAAGCATTTTGGAAAAGGGATGTCCAACCCGTACTATTTCTAGGCTACTCCATACAAAATGCAGAAAACTTTAGTTCTGTCAATTTCCCCCTCTAAAATTAGCAGTTCTTGGGTCAAGCACTGTGGCATAATGGGTAGAGCTGTCGCCTGCAGTGCCAGCATCCAATATGGGTGCTGGTTCAAGGCCTGGCTGCTCTACTTCCCATCCAGCTCTCTGCCAATGCCTGGGAAAGCAATAGAAGATGGCCCAAGTCCTTGGGCCCCTTCACCTGCATGGGAGACTCGGAAGAAGCTCCTGACTCCTGGCTTCAGATTGGCACAGCTCCAGCCACTGCAGCCATTTGGGGGAGTGAACCAGCGGATGGAAGCTCTCGCTCTCGCTCTCGCTTGCTCTCTCACGCTCTGACTCTGCCTGTCTGTAATTCTGCCTTTCAAATAAATAAATACATTGAAAAAAAATTAGTGGTTTTCTAGTCCTCTTACAAGGGTACATGGAAAAGAACTTTCGCATTTCCCTTAATGTGACTCACAGCACATAAAAAGTGAGCCCTTAAAAAGTGAGTGAACTACCTGCAAGGCTACAAAGTATCCTTCTACCACATATAGAAAATGTGGTAGATGTGAAATTACATCCACTTAATACACGAGCACTAACACCAAAAATTTATTCATATTACACTGTGAAGACTTAAATACAGTTCTTGTCCATTTTCAGATTGTTAAAACTATTTTTATAACTTGACAAAAAAGGCTCTTTAAAACATATCTAGCCAGATGATCATATTATTGTCCATTTTATTTCTTGCTAGTAGATGCCATTGTTATAAAACTGTGGCAATTGTTTTCATTTATCTCTCTCTCCAATTACCCGATGGCTGTGATGTGTGAAGAAGTTCAAAATCTGCAAAGCCTGTCGCATTGCAGAAACATGTCTCCTTAAAGGACAAGTGAAACTCCAGGAACTGAAGTGATAAATCTAGTGTTTTTTTACCAGGTTACTTTTGATGAGAACTAGCGTAGTAAATTAGGAAACCGTGTGTGTGTTATGTCGTGGTAAAAGCCTTCCCATTACCTGCTGTCAGTCACTAGTGATGGGCAAATAACTCAGCTGTCAATCTAGCTAGGATGCCCCAAGTTCTGTGAATGATCAATAAGGAAAAAAGCATCTAAAGTCTCCATTACCTGCACGTAATTCTTGAGACACCTCTAAGTTGCTTTCTTCCCCTGTACTGAAGCGTGTCTCATTTAGTCAGCCACAGTGGGGATCTTGCAATATTTCAAGTTTTTACAGCTCATTCCATGTCATCTTGTTTTCAATGGTGTTCGGGGGCTACCCTTCAGGAGCGTAAGCATCCATGCCCTGACTGCTGTGGGTAATCCCACCCGTGATACGGATTTAACTAAATTACCAGTAACTCTTATGCGCACTTTCTTAGTGATTTTTCATCTACAATGTTTACTGTCATGTTTTTCTACGTTAGCATTCCTTCACATCACACAAAATTCTCTACAAGTTCTCTCCCGATGTTCCGAGCAGCAAGAGCGGGAGGCAAACGTTACCATCCTCCCTGAGGGGGAGAAATGGGGCATTCACGGCTTCAAACAATCCGCCCAGGTTTCAGCCAGCTCTGTTTCAGAGTGAGGGAACAGGTGTGTGTTCCTTAGACTACTGTGAACTGGCCAGTCCCGGGAGGGAGGGCACTGCCATGGGAGCCTGACTCCTGCTCACCCGCACTGGCCTGTGCAGGGCCTAGACCTCGGAGAGCAAGCAGCACCCAGTCCCACGGAGAGACCGCGTTCCAGCCGTTCTTCCAAACAGTGCTTCAGGGACTACTGGAGACTAATTCACGTCCTACCCTCAAGGCAGTCAACCTCATTTCTTACCTGTTCTATTTCAGCTGACGATTTTAAAATGGTCACAGAAGAAAGAATCTGACCAAGATATAAAAATCTGGCAAGAGTAAAAAAATCATTTATCTGGAATAGAAAAACCCTGATTTGGGTAAGAATGTGCAGTTGTGTGCATCTCTATTAAAAGCATAATTAGGGAGTGGCGCCCCAAACGGGTGCTGGATTGAGTCCTGGCTGCTCCACTTCCAGTCCATCTCCCTGATGATGCCCTGAGAAAACAGTGGAGGAGGGCCCATGAAGAGAATGGAAGAAGCTCCTGGCTCCTGGCTCCTGGCTCTGGCTTGGCCCAGCCCCAGGCCCTTGTAGCCATTTAGGGAGTAAACCAGAGAATGGAAGATTCTTTTCTCTCTCTCTTTCTCTCACTCACTCACTCAGCCTCTCAAATAAATAAAAATAATATTTTTTTGAAAATTTAAAAAAGCAAAATATGAGCTATTTGGAAGAAGAAAAAAGGACAAAAAAGAAAAAGAAGGTGGTGAGAGGCCCTGGACTGGAAGAAACCCAAGGCACAACTCAGTGTCGGCTGGAAGCTGAGAGGACAGACAGCCGTCTCTGAATGGAGGGGACATGAGACAGTTACGCATTTAGAATGCTAAACCCCATCAAGAGGTAGGCTGATAAGCAGGTACTCAACCAACACATAACAGTTTGAATTTCCTAAGAACTCTGTGTCCCAAAGTAAAAACTGTACCTACTTTCTTCAGAAAGTAAAGTTTCAAAGACGAAATAAAAGTATACACTGGGTGAATGTACTGAAACTTTTCACCCCCTCTCTTACCTCTTCACTAAGCTGGGGCCAGGACACCCAAAATAAATATCACTGTTCAACTGGTAGCAGTTGCGCAGAATTCAAAGGTTTTTTCTTAAAACACACAGAAGCTCCTATAGGGTGTGACTGCAAGTACACCCACTTTAGCAGAGCTTTCTAGGGGTACCATGGGGCCCCTGCAAAGGACTGGGGCACCTGCTGGTTCTTTCCACCCTGCTACCTGGGCGGAATAAATCACGTCCCCCTAAACCATGGTACCAAGTGCTCTTTGACACCCAGCTCCCTCCACGTACAGGCTTCTGTGTTCCAGAGAACATTGCCGCTGGCTTTCTTTCCTTTAGAGATGGAGCCACATGTTTTTATCTTTTAGCCAAAACCGTTTAGGGCCTTTGTTAGCGAGGGATAAAGGAGGAAGGAAAGAGGTGTGCTCCAAGGAAGTAGGGATTCTTTACTGCCATTTGGATTTGTCACTAAAAGTGCAAAGGAAAAAACAACTGCTCATCACTTAATAAATACGGTCTATAATAATGCCTGCTGTGAAATATCACGTCTTCTCTAAGAAGAAGAAAACCAGTTTCTCCCCAACCTTTATTTGAATCTGCACAGAACACACTTTCCTAAAATCGCCCACATGTCACTGCATCTATTTTTCTTTTTAAATCAGGCATTAAATATGCATCCTGACTCCCACGTAGACGATCTGCAGCACAGCAAAATGACGGTGTGTTCAATTATAGGCTAAATAAATACAGCAAACATTAAGGGGAAAAAGTTTCAAACACTGCGGGCACAAGGTACTGTCTCCCTTCCCCCATTACAGAATTAGGCACTCGATGTCGGTTCTCCTAGTGACAGCAGAGGGCGGGTGCTGACCCTCCAGTGAGCCATTTAAAAAACCTTTCTATCATTAGTGATACGATGTGAATTTGGGTAGGGTGGGGTGGGGCGGGTGCAGGACTTCTCTAGGGAGCTAGTAGCTGAACCTAGAAAAACATACATGATTGAAAGAGAACACAAGATCTATTTTAAGGAATAAAAGAAGCCAGTCATGAAAGAAGGTATTTATATCCCCCCCTTTCCATTAGGAAATTAGGTTAACATTTTTATAACAAGCTGGATTGCAAAACAGCAAATGTACACAAAGTCAGGGCTTCTTTTCTTCATTTTTACTCCACTGCAGAGGTTTTCTGGAATAGTCAAATGCTACCGGCATGCATTATCAGTGAGTTCACGGGGAAGAACTGAGTCTAACCCTTCTGGTATTTCTGATCTCAGATTTCCAGTGATTTGGAAGAAGTAACTGTATTTGAAGCCACTGCCACGAGCCTTCAGCAAAGCACACTACGCTGGGAAAGCAGAATGTTGGTAGTTAAGATGATGGCTAGTCCTTAAGCCCCACACATGCCGGATTCCTGCCAGGGCCCCGTTCACCCTCGCTGCTCCAAGGGGCTTGGAGCACAAGGATGCTCCCCTTGGCCGATGCACACAGCCTGCGGAGAGGGGTGCCCAAGGACATGGCAAACAGAAAAGTAGCAACGACACAGGTGACAACATGACCATGCAACGGCCGTGGCAAACAACTGTAATATCTGCTACAGCTTCACTCAGTTCAGTCTATCAACGACCAGGCAGGCACTTGTTCCAAGGTAAAAGACCTAACATGCCATAAAAGGCTTGCTTTTCACCAGAAAAAGACATTGTGCATATTTGTACAGAAGGTATCCAAACATTGTGTCAAATTTGCTCTAATAAGTCACAATTTCTTTCTTACAAGTCTTTTCAAAGTGGGATTCCGATACAAGTAAGGCATATTCAGCTCATAAGGACAGTACCTTTTGACTGGACTCTCCTCGACATTCTAAGAATATTGAGACAAAAATTAATCTAAAATTCATTCTTTTATTCAACAAAAATTCAAAAACTAACAACAAGAATCTCTGATTTTAGAAAAAAATTTAAATGATCAGTATTTTCTGACCATCTAACTTTTCTCTATGGCGCGGACTCATGATGTCTGTAAGCATCTGATACACCTCCAGGAACAACGCGGGCCTTCAATGGTATTTGCTGTATTCTTCTAGAGACCTGCAAGGAGGCGATCAACAAAGCCTCAGTGGGTTCTCCACCGCCTGCGGGCCAAGTCTAGACTCCTCGGCATGGCGGGCCAAGTCTAGACTCCTCGGCATGGCGGGTCCAGTCTAGACTCCTCGGCATGGCGGGCCAAGTCTAGACTCCTCGGCATGGCGGGCCAAGTCTAGACTCCTCGGCATGGCGGGTCCAGTCTAGACTCCTCGGCATGGCGGGTCAAGTCTAGACTCCTCAGCATGGCGGGCCAAGTCTAGACTCTCGGCATGGCGGGTCCAGTCTAGACTCCTCGGCATGGCGGGCCAAGTCTAGACTCCTCGGCATGGCGGGTCCAGTCTAGACTCCTCGGCATGGCGGGTCCAGTCTAGACTCCTCGGCATGGCGGGTCCAGTCTAGACTCCTTGGCATGGTGGGCCAAGTTTAGACTCTCAGCATGGCGGGCCAAGTCTAGACTCCTCGGCATGGCGGGCCAAGTCTAGACTCCTCGGCATGGCGGGCCAAGTCTAGACTCTCAGCATGGCGGGTCCAGTCTAGACTCCTCGGCATGGCGGGCCAAGTCTAGACTCCTCGGCATGGCGGGCCAAGTCTAGACTCTCGGCATGGCGGGTCCAGTCTAGACTCCTCGGCATGGCGGGTCCAGTCTAGACTCCTCGGCATGGCGGGCCAAGTCTAGACTCCTCGGCATGGCGGGCCAAGTCTAGACTCCTCGGCATGGCGGGTCCAGTCTAGACTCCTCGGCATGGCGGGCCAAGTCTAGACTCCTCGGCATGGCGGGTCCAGTCTAGACTCCTCGGCATGGCGGGTCCAGTCTAGACTCCTCGGCATGGTGGGCCAAGTCTAGACTCCTCGGCATGGCGGGTCCAGTCTAGACTCCTCGGCATGGCGGGTCAAGTCTAGACTCTCGGCATGGCGGGCCAAGTCTAGACTCCTCGGCATGGCGGGTCAAGTCTAGACTCCTCGGCATGGCGGGCCAAGTCTAGACTCCTCGGCATGGTGGGCCAAGTTTAGACTCTCAGCATGGCGGGTCAAGTCTAGACTCCTCGGCACAGCACGCAATGAGCTTCACAATTTGTTCCCAGGCCCATGTGATCTTCAGCTTCATCTCCAGTCATTCAAACATGGGTCTCTCACCAGCCATCCTAATCCCGTGTTAGCCTGTGCAGTTCAATCAGTCACTGCTCCTGTCTAGAACCCCATTTCCCCTTTGCCTAGCAAACACTCACAAAATCTAGCTCATTGCTCGACAGCATGCCCTGACTGCGCTGAGCCGACTGGCGGGCTGCCCGGGCACACTCCCGCGGCGCCTTCTAGAACTTCCTGTGCTGCAGTGCAATCACCTGTTAACACACTGGAACCTCCGGACAGAAGCAGCTGTTTCCTTTGCTCTGTGTGTCTGGGCTCTGAGAAGACTTCAGATACGTAACTCTTGTTTACCAGTATTGAACAAATTATTCACATACTGATTCTAATAGGTTAGTGACCTCAGTCATAAAACGTAGTTTATAAGAACATTGGATAATATTTTTTTTTTTTTTGACAGGCAGAGTGGACAGTGAGAGAGAGAGACAGAGAGAGAAAGGTCTTCCCTTGCCGTTGGTTCACCCTCCAATGGCCGCCGCTGCAGCCGGCGCACCACGCTGATCCGATGGCAGGAGCCAGGATCCAGGTGCTTTTCCTGGTCTCCCATGGGGTGCAGGGCCCAAGCACCTGGGCCATCCTCCACTGCACTCCCTGGCCATAGCAGAGAGCTGGCCTGGAAGAGGGGCAACCGGGACAGAATCCGGCGCCCCGACCGGGACTAGAACCCGGTGTGCCGGCGCCGCAAGGTGGAGGATTAGCCTATTGAGCCACGGCGCCGGCATTGGATAATATTTTGCAATGAGAGGTCATTTCACAAGGAAAAATATCGGTAGATGCTCATTTTCATGTTTTATAGTAAGAAAAAATGGGCACACTTTTAATTGCACAGGTTTCCTACATAAGAGTGCAAAAACATTAGTAAGCAAGGAGAGTATGTAGGAGTTTTGGGTGCAGGCTGCTGGGGGCTGTTAAGACTGGGGCCAAGGCGATCCTGTTGTGTGATGGAGCAGACAGACACTGCCAACAAATACCCTTTGTCACGTGCATTTGAAACTTCTCAGGTGGTCACTAAAACCGAGAAAGAACAGACAGAAGAGAGGACAAAGTGACACAGAGAAGAGAAACAGGAATCCAGAGCACGGTGGTAGAAAGGAATAAATCATATCAATACCAACGGTAAATGCATTGGCTTAAATGCTCCAGCAGTTAGCATGTTTTCCAGGCAGGATTACAAAGCAACAACAACAAACTCAGCCCAACGTAAGTTTCAAGAAATCCACTTTAACCATAAGGAAAAGTGGAAAAGAAAGATATGTATCATGTGACTACTGAACTAAAGAGAAATGATATCAGTATGAGACAGAAGAGAATTTAAGGCAAAAAGCATTCTAGATGAAGCACACTACATATGGACAGCAACTTCAATTTACAAGGAATATAGCAACATGATTAGTTCTCATATACACTGCTTTAAACTATAAAAAGGGAAAATCAACAAATCCACAATTGTGAAAAACTTCAACATCTGTCTCTCAGTAGTTGGTAAATGTCATTCAAACAAATTAATAAGGATGTAGAGTTGAATCACACAATTAAGAAGCTTCACCTAATATGTTCCCTGTAGAATACAGTATCTAATAACAAGTTTTTCTTTAATAACAAGTATTTCTTTTCAAGTTCATTTGGAAATTTATAAAAATGTCCATCCACTACACCAAAAGGCAAACTTTGACAAATTTCAAGGAACTGGTTCATAGATACTACATTCTCTGACCATAGTGCAATTAAATTATAAAGTAGGAATAAGCAAAAAAGAGGTTAGAGATGCTAGCACAGTGGGTATCAGAAACTATCTAGAGATAGAGGAATACAAGCGTCCTAGGACACTGAACGTGCAGAGGCAGCTGAAGCATGACTTAGAGGGGAGGTCAGGAACTTTACTGCTGGAGTCCTTGTCAGAAAATAAATAAAACTGATTGATCATTTAAGTTAGAAAAAGAACAAGAGTAAACAAAGAAGTAAACAAAATAAGTAGAAGAAAGGAAATAACAAAACACAGGAGTGGAAATGATCAAACACAAAGATGTAATACAGAAGACCCACAGAGCTATGGACTGTTATTCTGAAAAGTCGTATAATTAACATTCTGTAGACACAGAACACAGCGGAGCAATAGAACTGTACTAGGCACTCACAAGCAGAGGGAGTCACAGGCGTGCACCTAAACATGTCTCTCAAGATGGCACAACAGCCCAGCGCAGTCGGAGCTGGCCCTGGGATCTCTGACTTCTTGCAGGAATGATCCAACAAATGTAGATCCTCATAAGGTCGGTCCGGCATCCTGAGGGAGCATGGGGACTCCCACAGACCACCACAGTCTTCCTGAACACACATCCCCTCACCAGAGGCCCATTACCGGGAACCGCAGACCGGACAGTGGCACAGGCATGGGACTTGTACCTTCTAAAGTTCCTAACTTATTCAAGGACACTGACATCGCATGTGCATGACTGAGGAGAACGCAATGCCAGGTACAATGGGGGAGGGGAAGAGAGAGATGATGTGGTTTAAGGTTTTAGTTTAAGGAGACAAGAATTTCACATTCCGATTTCTGTAGCAGAGATGTGGGTAGGCACTGGCATTCAAACACATAAGCAGCAGGGATAACTTCAGGGAAAAATTAAAAGAATCCATGTCCAAGGTTTATAGTCTGAATAAGATGAGTTTTTGATCATTTTTCGGAGGTGGCTATACCTCTCTCTTAAGGAACAAAATGAAACCGCGGTCTCAACGACCACACACCAGCTAAGTTTGGGACACGGTCCAGGCTCAATCGGGTTGCTTGCTGGCTTCAACATTAAACCTCATGAAAACAGTAACTTCTCAAGAGACAAAAGTTCAAATTCTTTTGTTTTAGAACCCAGAAATGCAACAGAAACCAAATATAATAAAAAATGAAAATTCAGGTACAGGAATTATGCATTTCATTCTGAATAATTATTTCTGTACTGCCCGTAAATCCTCTCTGGTAAGCTGTGCATCTAAAACTCATCGAACTGCCAAGGGGTAAACGCAGCTCCATCCATCAAGCAGCCACTTGACAAATACATTCCATAATAGAAGTTTATTTTTATGGGAGGCTGAATCAAGGACTTTCCCATGCATACAAAAACTTGTCAAAATTATTTATGAGTCTTGCTGAGACACACAATATGTCATATCAAACTCCTATTTTCCTTCCAAGCACAGACTGTCAATATCTCTGCTCCTATCAATAATGTGGACCACCGCTGATAGAGGCCCGGGAGTGTGAGGTCATTTGCCCACCGCAGCCCTGCCGGAAGCGGTCCCTGACTGCAGAGGCGCATTTCCCTCGCCGTGAGGGGACTCAGGTAAGCACTTGGGACTGAGCTCCAAGACTTGGCAACGTAAAGTAAAATGGAAACATATGCTCGAAAAATTACGCTGATTATGGCTAAAGTAAAACAAAAATAATAGAGGTTACTGCATTGTTCATTTTTCACACACAGTATTGGCTAAGTGTGATAAAACAGGCACTTGACAGTCACGAAAATAGCCCATCCTTGGTGAAATTTCAATTCCGAAACATTAGTTTGATGGAATGAATCAGATGGGACGAGAGGCCTCTCAGAAGGTGAGAAATTGCTTTCTGAAGGCTAAGTGAGCTTGGTTCTGTCAGCCTTAGTCCTCTGTAATTCGGGTTCACAAGGAAGCATCGGCTGACGAGCACAGCGCCACGGACTCCACCTCAGCAGGGTGGGCTTTCCGCCGCTCTGGCTTCCTGCTTTTCCCAGAGACCAAAACTGAATAACCCTTGGGATAATGTACAGCACCAGGAAAATGTGTTATTAATTGCAGCTCTGTGGCAGCGGTTCCTGCAGTCTTCTACCCTAAATTAGCCCCGAGAGCTCATCAGATAACAACAGAAGTGTCAATATTTCAGAGACGACTTCTTTGTCTCTAAATATGTGCGTTTTGGCACTGCCACCTCATGTGCGCATGTGTCACACAAAGGCTGTGAACCACACGGGTCCAGCGAACCTGACTTCCTCAACGGAATCCACGAGATCACCCTGAACACTGCAGAGGGCTACGGGCACAGAAAGGGCAGCAGTGGGGGGAGAAAGAAGGAAAAAGGAAAGATCTATCACTGATAGCGGCTTCGCCTTAGAAAATCTGCATTTAGAAACCACTGGTCTTAACGAGCCTTTATTACATGATTCCAACCACAAAGAGCTCTAACAGTCAAGCTCTACCAAAGAACCCGGCTCAGAAAGAACAAACTCACTTTTTCTGATAAATCCTAAAAGCCCTCTTACATGAACCACTGGGAGATCTGCATGTGAATGCCGCTGAGGAGTTCGCCTGGCAAACCTGAGTCCTGGGAAGCCCACAAGGATGCCACTCAGGCGAGTCGCCTTCCTAGGGGCCTGCTCCTCCACCGCACGGGTGAAGAGTGAGTCTCGCGTGCACGCAGTCCTTCTGAACCGTATCGACTCCCTTCTCAGTACGGGCTAGCTCCATCACCTTGCCCAAGAGCCTGCATATGCTAAATGTGGAACAAGCACTTGTTGAAGCAAACTGATTTTATTTCCTTCAATCCTGCAAGCAAACAGCTCCTGTTCAGTTTTGAGAAACCTGAAGTGCAGAGAAGTGAGATGACCTGCAGAGCCAGGTTGGGATCTGAATCCAAATTTCCATTAATTATGTAAATTTCTAGGAAAAATGTTACAGCTTAAGGTTCTCAGTCTACTGCCCACTCGAAGCATTTCACAATATGACATTCTGTATACAATATTATGTCTCATTTACTACTCTCCCAAATCTCTCTCATATTTACCGATTATCTTCTCTACTCTCAGAGCCACACGCTGGCTGAGCTTTGGCTTATTTTGTTCTCTATTGCACCTGCCTGTCTTCTTAGTCTTCATCTTCCTGCTTAGCCGTCGTCAGTCTCCCCCCCTTACGCACGAATGACACCACACTACAACCACTCAGTGGTACAGACGCATGTGGTACTGCATCCCTACGGAACCGGTGTGGCTGTCAGCCGGGATGCAGATACACACTAACAGATACTGTAAGGAAAGGAAATGTTACCCACACCTGGGGATTCCATTCTATATCCTATCACTGAAGTCATGCTCTGCTGCCTTCAATAAGTCTAATTCACCCAGCTCAGGCCAACCTGGCTGTGTCTAGCTCCTGTTGTCACAGCCAGCGGTTCAGAGATCCGCCTCCCACCTTGTCCTGTCCTGTGCTACAATCTCTGCTGGGCTGGGCAGATGACCATGACCAAGGCCTGGCTGCTGCCCTGGAGGCTCAAGGAATAGGGAGACCTCAAGGATGGACACCAATGATTCCGAACAGAAAAGACCCGCTCAGCAGGGAGCCTCAAAAAGGCATTTCTGGAAGTGGTGGATGACAAACCTGGGCAGGGGAAGACAGACTGCACCTGCAAGCAGGCTCTGAGGGCCTGAGTTTGTGTGGATGACTTTACTGATTACTACAGCCATGTCCAAGCACTGCATGCATGCATGCATGATCTTTTCAGCGGAAGCACAGCTTATGCTTATCAATATTCCACAGGGCTCTTGGCATAAGATTTAACACATAGTAGGTTGACAAATAATAATAATGTAATAGTGAACAGGACCTCAATGTACCTAAACCGGACAGCTACATTTAAGTACTGTACTACTTTAGCCGCCTGGTGAGACACCATGCTGGGCATCAAGGGACAAGTCAGCTGACGTCAAATTTGACAG